TAAACAATATAATCAACAGTATTTTAATAATTATGTATGGTGCCTGGTGGGTACCTGAAATATGAGAAGATGGATCAATTTGTAAAGTATATGATTGTCTAGCCACTGTGCTTTATACCTAAAACTAAAGCAAAATAGTATTAAATGTAAAGGGTGGTTTAAAAATAAATTTAAACAAAAAGTCACACAACTCCTAGTAGTACAACTAGAATTCAAATCTTTAATTCCAGTGCTTGTATTTTGCTCAATATGCGTAGGTTCGGCAGGTAGTGTTTCTAAAAATGTTAGTGAAGAAATTTCCACCTAGTCACATACCAGACCAACTACTAAATTGATTTCTCTTGATCAAAATTAGCCAGATAGAAATGATGCCTAATGGATACATTCCTTAATTGAGTGGTATCCCTGTCACTAGTTATTTCCACCTTCTAGTCCATTTTTTTAAAGATTTTATTTATTTATCTTTAGAGGGGAAGGGAAGGAGAGAGGGAGAGAAACATCAATGTATGGCTGCCTTTTGTGTGTCCCCTGCTGGGAACTGGCCTGCAGGGAACCGGCCTGCAACCCAGGCATGTGCCCTGACTGGGAATCGAACCGTCATTGTCTGGTTCGCAGGCCCGTGCTCAATCCACTGAGCTACACCAGCCAGGGCTCTAGTCCATTTTTAATACTACTGCCAGAAAAGATTTTATTTAAAAAAACAAATAAACCCTTAACTACTTTCCCTCTTAAAGACTGCTTCTGTTAGATAAATTGCTTCTACAAGATAAAGCCTAAACATTTCAATATATATGCAAGACTCTTCACATTCAGTCTGTCTTACTGTCTTGGAAATTCTTAAACTTTTTCTTTTCAGAATGCATTTACACACTGTTAATTATTGATATAGACAAAAAGAGGCCACATACTAAACCTGACAAGCTCAGAGAAGGCCTACATGACAGCATTACAAACTCAAGAGACCTAAAGTAACCATAGGATGGTCTGAAATTAAAAACTTTCTAACTAAAAGCAGGTGAATCTTTACCTTAATTGAGCCTGTCTATTGCCTTTCACATTTATAACATTCCTTTGGAATGCCAAATTTTCTTTTCCTGGATCCCTCAAAGTACAGACACTTCACCACATGGAGACCACAACCCCCCTCACTGTTACTGTTACCATGCTAATGGTTGGCTGTGAACTATCCTGTACCTGCTTATGTAAAAAAAGTATGTGCCTATCATTTTACTTTTTATCCAATACCAGGTTTCCCATCTTTGCTTTCTCCTGCCTCCCTAATCTATCCCCAACAGATTTCATGTAACCCACTTAAGTCTTCTCTTTTGATTGTAATGTATAAAATGACACAAAACTGCCATTTTCTGGAACATTTGTCTCAATCTGTTGAAGTTTTGCTTCCCAGTAATAGTTATCAGTTTGGGTCAAATGAACTCATAAAAGTTTTTACAGGTTGGACATTCACAATGACAAAAAAGAAATGTTTAGGTATTAGGACAATGTCAAGTTCATAGTGGTACATAGAAATTAAAAAAAATTCTTACTTTTGCCTGATGGCTTTGATTTTATCATCGAGAAAAAAATACTGTCAGCGTTTCCCTTGGTGTAACAGGCTCACTATGTTCATTCTTCTTCTTTTTTTTGGTATAGAAAACATCAGCCAAACTCCAAAGTGTGAATAACCACAGTTGGCCTGCCACTTATTCTTTCAAGGTAGTCCACAGCAAAGAGGCCTTTGTGAGTCAGATTTTGAAACAAACTATTTCACAAGTGTTTTTCCTTAAGAAAACTATTATATTTTGGTATCCAGCAGAAGTACTCTATGTGTACTTCCCATTTCATCACATAGAATATTTAAACAGACATATATTCAAGGGTTGAGATTTAATACAATAAACAACCTCCTCAAGGTCATTCTTAAGTGAAAACAATGTTTTGGTTTTTTTTAAAGCTATTAGTACAATATGGTGCTATGAATTTGATTTGTGCTAAGATATAAGTAGTTTTACCCACTATTATTTTTGAGTTTCAGTATTATTATGCAAACAGTGAATTTTGCAGGGTCATTATCTGCATGGAACACATTTGAAGTACCACCGGTCTATTCATTATTCCCAGATAAGAAAATGCTAAAGGCATTTGTTAATTAACATCAAACCTGTACTGCAACAAATATTAAAGGGCTTGCTTTAAGAATAATAAGAAAAAGAAAAAGAAAAACAGAGGAAAACAGTCTAACCATAAAATGGCACTATATACATATCTATCAATAATCATCTTAAGTGTAAATGCTCAGACTGAAAGACAGATGGTAGATAAGAAAACAAGATCTGTACATACACTGCCTCCAAGAGACCAATCACAAATTAAAGGATACACACAGATGGCTCCAAGGTGAATTTTACCATATATTCTGAGAATAACTAACACCCCTCTCTCAAACTATTTCATAAAATTCAAGAGGAGGGAAGGTTCCTAAACCATTTTACAAGGCCAGCATTATCCTAATTCCAAAACCAGATATAGACACTACAAAGAAAGAAAATTATAGGACAATATCACTGATGAACATAGATGCAAAAATCCTCAACAAAATATCAGAAAACCAAATACATCAATGCATCAAAAAGATCATACACCATAAACAAGTGGGATTTATTTCAGGAATGCAAGGTTAACATAACATTTGCAAATCAATAAATGTAATTCACCACATAAACAAAATGAAGGATAAAAACCATATGATCATATCAACAGAAAAAGCATTTGATAAAATTCAGCACCCATTTATGATACAAACTCTCAGCAAAGTGGGAATAGAGAGAACATACCGAAACATAATAAAGGCCATATATGACAAACCCACTGCCAGCATCATACTCAATGGGCAAAAACTACAAGCATTCCCCTTAATATCAGGAACAAGACAGGAATGTCCGATTTCACCTCTTTTATTCAACATAGTACTGGAAGTCCTAGCCACAGCAATCAGACAAGAACAAGAAATAAAAGGCATCCAAATAGGAAAGAAAGAAGTAAAACTGTCATTAGTTGCAGACCACAATATTATATATAGAGAAACCCAAAGATTCCACCAAGAAACTACTAGAACTGATAGATAAATTGAGCAAAGTAGGATACAAAATTAATACTCAGAAATTAATTGCATTTTCACATGCCAATAACAAACTAAGAGAAAGGGAAATTAAGACAACAATTCCATTCAGAATTGCTTCAAAAAACAATAAAATTCCTAGGAATAAAGCTAACCAAGGAAGTAAGAGACCTGTTCTCAGAAAATTATGGCACTGAAGAAAGAAAATGAAGAGGAAAGAAATAATGGAAGAACATACTATGTTCATGTATAGGAAGAATTAACATCATTAACATGTCCAGGCTACCCAAAACAATTTATACTTTTAATGCAATTCCTGTGAAGATTTCAATGATGCATTTCACAGGAGTAGAACAAATATTTCAATAATTTATATGGAACCACAAAAGATCCCACATATCAACAACAATCTTGAGAAAAAACAACAAAGTTGGAGAAATCATGTTATCTAATATCAAACTATACTATAAAGCCACAATAATCAAAGCAGCATGGGATTGGCATAAAATCATGCACAGATCAATAGAAGACAACAGACAGCCCAGAAATAAACCCTTTATAGTTGATTAATATTCAATGGTGGAAGCAAGTACAAACAATGGGGTAAAGATAGTTTATTCAATAAATGGTATTGGCAAAAATTGCACAGATATGTGCAGAAAAATGAAACTAGACTACCTTCTTATACTACACACAGGAATAAATTGAAAATGAATTAAAGACTTAAATGTTAAGACTTGAAACCATAAAAATCATAGAAGAAAATACAGGCAGCAAAATCTCAGACACTGCTCATAGCAATGTTTTGTTAGATATATCTCCCCAGATGAGGGAAACAAAAGAAAAAATAAACAAATGGAACTACATCAAACTAAAAGTCTTTGCGCAGCAAAGGACATCATCAACAGAATAAAAAGGCAACCCACAGAATGGGAGAACATACTTACTGATATATCTGATAAGGGTTTAATGTCCAAAATTTATAAAGTATTTACCAAACTCAACACCAAAAAAGCAAACAACTCAATTAAAAAATGGGCAAAGGACCTGAATAGACACTTCTCCAAAGAGGACATACAGATGGCCAATAGGCATATGAAAAGATGTTCAACATTACTAATCATCTGAGAAATGCAAGTTAAAATCACAATTAGATACCATCCCACACCTGTCAGAATGGCTATCATTAATAAAACAACAAGTGCTGGCTAGAAAGGGGATCCCTTTTGCATTGTTGGTGGGAATGCAGATTGATGTAGCCACTGTGGAAAGCAGTATGGAGATACCTCAAAAAATTAAAAATGGATCTGCCTTTTGACCCAGCGATCCCACTTCTGGGAATATATCTGAAGGAACCCAAAACACTAATTCAAAAGAACATAAGCACCCCTGTGTTCACTGTAATATTATTACAATAGCCAAGATATGGAAGCAGCCTAGGTGTCCATCAGTAGATACATGGATAAAACAACCATGGGGCATTTACACAATGGAATGCTACTCGGCCATAAAAGAAAGAAAATTTTACCTTCTGTGACAGTGTGAATGGACCTGGAAAACATTATACTAAGTGACATAAGCCAGTCAGAGACCAACAAATACTGTATGATTTCACTCATATGTGGAATCTAATGAACAAACTCATCTAACAAGGAAAATGGGGACAGATTCATACATGGAGAACAGACAGCAGCTGATGGCAGGGGGAATTTTAGAGGGTAGGAGGATTGATCAAAAATGAAAAAGGACTCATGAACATGGACAACAGTGTGGTGATTGCTGGGGAGAGGGGGCTATAAGAACACTAAATGGTAATAGAAAAAAAATACAATGAAGATTAAATTTTAAAAAAAGTTCCCACATTCTGCCAGTCTATTTCACATACCTGAGAATTTTTTTAGGAATCTGTGATGGAGAAGAATGACTCATTTTCTTTTCCTGGGAATTATGCAGAAACCCATCCTGTATTCCACCTTTCTCCATGCCTGTGGATGGGTCTGCTCTGGCCTTATTCTGATCCACATTGAGCTGGCCTTCAGCAGGGTCACACCTGTACATGAAGACGATGGCTGGTTTCTCACTGGACTCTCCTTTTGCCTCTGTGAACCACTGATGGCGTTGAACTGGAGGAGGGGGCAGCATGTGGATGACTGTGCCATCCAGGCCCACCAGTTTCCCTTTCTCTCGTTCTCTCTCTTTGTCATCCTCCTCATCTGTTTTCCGACGGCGGAAGAAGCTTTTAAATGATATCCAGCGTTTAGGTTTTGCATCAGCTGCCCGCCTGCTACCTTCAGAGTGCAAAACTGATTCAGCTTCTGTTGACCTGGTAGGGCTGGTTGACTTGGTCCAGTTGGTGAAATGCTTATGCAGAAGGTTACCTGCATGGTAAGGGGAAGAAGTAGAGCGTGGTGGGGGAAAAGGAGGTGGTGGCTCACTTTGGGGATTAGTTACTAATTTGGAGGAGGTGACTGGCTTTGCCAGTGGATCTTTCTGTACTTCAGTGGTAAGATTTTCTGTGTTCTGAGGTGCTTCATGTTCACCACTGGGCTGAGATGCAGAGAGAGATTTGGGCCGGACTGGTGTACTTTTAGGAGCATCGACATCTGGAGGAATTGCATAAAGCTTTTCTACACTGCAAGCTTTATGGCCTGATGGGGGCATTTCTGGAGAAGACTGTGGAGGTTGAATAGAAGCCACAATCTGAGAGAGCACTGTACTTGCTTTCTCCCTGTTGCTGCCACTGCCTCCCATCTGAGACCCCTGAGTGCCTTCTGCTCTAGCAATATGTTCTTGAGTGGTTCTCTGGATCTTTGTTGGGGAGCTGTTGTTGGAACTATAGCTTCTCTGTGGTGAAGACTGACCTCTGTTGAGACAGCTGTTAAACTCCTGGACCTTCTGAGCCACTGAGCCCCTTTTACGCTCTGTACTATTTGAAAACCCTTTAGCTTGGGGGCAATCAGTGGGGTTGCTGGTGGTGTCTTCAGACACTTTGCCTGTAGTTTCTATTTCTTCGTAAGTATGGCTTATCATACTTGTGGTTTTTTCCTTCACTGGAAGTTCTCCATTTGTTCCAAGAAAACTTTTATAAATGGCTAGATTGTCATATGCATTTGGATTGATTACAATGGGAACTTTAATAGCATTTTTGGAACTCCGAGCATAAGTTGGTTCATCATGAATGATAATTGGAAAAGGTGGCATACCAGCATTGTTGTAACTATTAAATTTTATTTCAGACAAATTAGGTGACTTAACAGGGATGGTTTTGGAGGAAACATTCATAGCTATGGGTGAAGTAGGTGCTGATTTGTGACAGTTTTTTCTTGGAGGGACATTTGGTCCTATTCCACCACTAATTAATCCCACCTTAGGTATCTTCTGTCTTGGACTGGTACTGGAAGTCCATACTTCTTGGTATTGAATTGTACTGGACTTTTGGAAACAGGCACTTATTTGACCTGATGAAGATATAGGTGGTGTCACTGGAGAGTTTGGAGCAGAAGATGAGCTTTTTGTCTTGGGGTTGTTAAGAGGGCCCTCAAGGTGTTCACTGGCCATGGCTGCTGACACATCCACAACAGTATATGGCTTACATAATGGCTGTTCAAGATTCACAACACGGTAGGGCTTTGCTTGTTCTTGTACAGGAATGAGGTTTATGATTACTGCTTGCCCAGCATTATCTGTAGAGGCTTTACTTCCTTGCTTCTCAGTTTGTACAGCAATCTTGCCATCCTTCTCTTCTAATCTGAGAGCAAGGACTGCTTTGTGAGTCTCTGGGATTTTTGCTGAGCTTTTTGATGCTTGTGATGAATCCTTCCCCTCACTGTTACCAGAGAGACTTTCATAATTGGGCTCACGTTCCTTCACATCCTTAGAACCTCCTGGGTTACCAGGAGATATTCCCCCATTACAAGTCTTCTGGGATAAACTACTGGCTGTTTCAGAATGTGATTCTTCTGTTAAAGAAGAATCTGGTGATGTGGAGTCAGATGACACCATACTCTGAGTGTATACTGGTCCACAGACTACAGAATTCTCTTCATAACCATTCAGGATTTCATCATAACTGTCATCATAGTCTACAGCACAGATTCTCTGCAGAGACTTATTTCGCAGAGGAACAGTATTCCACTTTCTGTCCACAGAGAATTGAACAGGAGACAAAGTATTTGCCCTAAAGTTAGCAAAGCGAGGTTGTCCTCTCATGCGAATCTCCATAGCCAATAGCTCTTCATCACTTTCATCCCAGCTCTCACGCTCCTCCTCCATGTTACTGAAAAGTACATCTTCCTCGCTGTCCTCACCACTAGAAAACTCTGGGTAACAGAACCGGCCCCCTTCATTACTGATCACTTCTGTGCTCCCACTCAGAATAACATGCTTGCCCTGAGTATCCTTTATCCCACCAATCATGCAACTTGGTGGAAGCTTTCTTTCCAATGACCGTTTATAGCAATCATTTATTCTTCCTAAGAATATTTCTCTGGAGTTGGTTTCATTTCCTCTTATCAGAGATGTAGTATCCAGGCCTGCTATCTCCTTCAACACTTCGGTTAGCCCATTATTGTTATTTGACATCTTCTTCGCATTATCATTATTGCCACAAGGTTTAGAAATATGGCTAATTCCTTCAGTATCATTTTCATTATTATTATTGAGTGGTTTCTTATTCAAAGCTGTCCTGTTTGGGTTCCTCCCTACGATGAGAGGTTTGTTCTCACAGTGTCCGTGAATGCTAAGCTCACCACATACACTTTGCCCATCTGCTACCATCATAGTGGGCTTCACAGCTATAGTGGGTTTTTTAGCCACAGGAGGCCGGAAATTTCCGGTGTTCCTGATACGGTGATTGTTACTGTGGTTGGCATTAGTTTTCACATTGCTGTGGGTAATGGGTGTCTTCTCTGGCTCTGGAGGGAGCTGGTGCAAGCTTTTAGGTTTAAAACAGTTCTTGCATTCACCAGGTTTCCAAACGTGTTCAGTAAAGGTATTACAAGCAGACATTTTAGAAAATAGAACTTCACAGACAATGCTTTCCTTTCAGTGCATGGCAAAACTTTCATCTGGTAGTGTTCACCTCCCCTATGTATCATAGCAGCTCTCGTTAAGTATCATCAATCTGTGGGAAAGGGAAAAAAGAAGAAAATCTGAATGGAAAAGGTACTGTGAAGCTTTTCATGATGAACAACATAAACAAATGGCTCTGTTCCTTAAATTAAAATGACAGAGAAAAACTAACTGGAAAGTTATTTTACCCACTTTTGTTGAACCATATCTAATCTTTTGTTTGATGTCTCTATGAAAATGATACTGTGACCTTCCTCTCCTGGGAATGCCTTTGAAACTGCTACCCACTAACCTGCCTGAGAGTTCTTCGTCTATTGTAGGTCCCTCTTACTCTATCTACCCTTTCTTTACATTTTGGGTATCTCATATAGACTCCTCAAACTCACCATACTCAAAACTAATTTTCTGGCTATCCCTCTTCTCAACTCCAAAACCCTATTCTACTCTAACCAGCCTTTCTTCTACCCCCTAGGCCTCCTCCTTCCTCTTTCACCCTAACTCAATTAATGTCATCTACTTAGACAGCTAAACTTCAACCTTCAGACCATTCTTTTTTTAAAACTTTTTTCTTTATTTTTATTGACTTTCAGACCATTCTTGACACCTCTCCCCTCAATTCTAACACCATGTCCTACTAACTCCCTAAATTAGTTTTGACAATTGTATCTATTATATTTCACTAAAACTCATTTTTGCCATTACCAAACACTGTAATTAATTTGCCTAGATGTCTGCAATAGTCTGTTAACTGATCTTCATGTCTGTAACCTCACCCCATTCCAATCCAACCTCTTCACCCTTGTTATTTGAAGTGTGACCCTCAGTCGAGTAGTAACAACCTCAAGGGGCGCTTGTTAGAAAAGTAGTATCTTCAACTTACTGGGTCAGAATCTGTATTTTAATAAGATTCTCTGATGATTCCACTGTCCTATACCACCATCAGATTTAGCTGTAAAATGCTAATATGATCATCTCTAGCTTAACTATTGTGTGGCTCAATCTTACCTACTGCATTGGCTACCAAATGTCACTTTGCAAACTAAAGGTTGCTAGCTAAATAAGAATCATCTTGGAAACCATTCTAGATATACCCAGTCAATCTCTGAGAAATGAGTCTGGGGATCTGATTTTTAAAATAAGCTCTCCAGGTAATTCTCTGTGCATCGAGGTATTAGAATTTCTAGTTATAGGACAGAATATAAGTCCCTTAAATTTTCATGCTATGGTCTTTGTCTTCCTTCTAACTTTATGTTTTGAAAATTAAGTAGTCTTATCATTCATACCCTAAGTCCCACTGGGCTACTTATTTTTCCTTGGTACTATCGAAGTCACTTAGACATACCTCTATTTATGAGCATTTTCATTTTTAACTTTTCCCTCACTTAAAGAAGTTTCAAACCTTCTTTTAAGTCCTGCACCATACTTTATTTCTCTATATATATCTAGCATAAGGTGTTGAATAAACATTGGTTGGTTAAAGTGCTGGGTTTAAAGGTAATTTTTTTAAAAAAGGAGTCTTACGGCTCTCTTCTCTTGTCTCAGGCCCACAGCTGCAGACCTTCCCACAGGACATCACTATTCTTACACTTCCACTTTGGATATTAGAATAGAGTTGGCAGTAGGTATGTACATGTAAGGACTATTTTAATAATTGAAAAGTTCAACTTCACTTCCGTATGGCAGTAAAAGAATCCTTGCTTTGGCCAGAAAATTAGCCTTTTTTTGGTCAAGTTTTAGCACATTTATAAGGAAGGAAAAATATTTTCTTTAGCAAATATATACAAAACTAAGTCCCTTATAAACAATACTCATAAAAAACTCTGCCTCAATGGAAGAAGTACAGACTTAAAGATCAAAGAATTTCATCTTTGATCCAGGGAGCCCAACAACTCAGTCCAAATCTAAGTTCATTATTAGCTGAAGATCATTAAACTGCTTTTTTTCAATAAGGCTAAAATTTATTTCTCAAGTGTTTGTTTAAAAACATTTATTTACTCTTCCAATATTCTAAAAGCTATATCCCTAAATTGATAAAATAATGTCCTGCCAGTCTGAAACGAGAACATTTTGAATAAGGATAAGAATGGCATAAAATTAGGCTAAAAAAGGAAGCTGGGACCAATCATGCAGGGCTTTTTAGGCTTTTAAAGATTAGACTTTATCCTAAGAGGCGTGTGAAGGCACTGGAGGGGTTTAAACAACTGAAATAACGTGATACAATTTGCATTTTTAAAAAGATGGCTCTGCCCTGGCTGGTGTAGCTCAGTGGATTGAGCGTGGGCCTGCGAACCAGACAATCGTGGTTCAATTCCCAGTCAGGGCACATACTGGGGATGCAGGCTGGTTCCCTACAGGCCATATCCCAGCAGGGGATGCATGAAAGGCAACCATACATTGATGTTTCTCTCCCTCTCTCCTTCCCTTCCCCTCTAAAGATGGAAAGAAAAAAAGAAAAGAAAAGAAAAGGAAAGAAAAGGAAAGAAAAGGAAAGAAAAGAAAAGAAAAGAAAAGAAAAGGAAAGAGAAAGATGGCTCTAACTAAAAACATAAAAAACTTAGGTATAAGTTTAACAAAATGTGTAAATTCTAAAATCTATATGCAGAAAGGTACAAAACACTGATATAAGATATCAAATACCTAAATAAATGAAAAGATATACCATGTTCTCTTGATACTGTTAGGATGTCAATTGTACCCAAAGTGCTCTGTAGATTTAACATAATTGTAACCAAAATCCAAGGAGGATTTTTTTGTAGAAATCACAAACTGATTCAAAAATTTATATGGAAAAGCAAAGGAACTAGAATAGCCAAAACAATATTGAGGAAAAAAAAGTTAGAAGAGTTAGATAAGTATTGAAATATAGTTAACATAAAGCTACAGTAATCCAGTGTGGTGTTGGGCAAAGGATAAGAATGTAGAATGGGGACATGGGATTAAGTAAATTACAGATAATAGGACAAATCTAGCCTGTAGCCTGTTTTTCTATGTCCTTAAACTAAGGGTGCTTTTAAAAATTTTATGTGGTTGAAAACAAACAATAGAATACTTTTTGACAAGTGAAAATTACATGAAATTCAAATTTCAGTAACCATAAATAAAGCTATATTGGAACACAGCCAGGTTCATTTCTTAACATATTATTTATGACAACTTTTGTGCTACAATGAAGAGTTGAGTAGCTATGAACAACTGTAGGTGGCTCTCTCATCACTATGCAGTGCTTTTTAGTGTTCTAAAAATTGCAAAATTCCCACTGCTACATGTATCACCAGTGTGAAAACAGTTTCAATGATACAAATCGTAAAATTGTATTATATATATGCATTAATAGATGAACATTTGTATTTAATTTTGGTGATAAGAAACACTTAATTTTTTGAGCCCTTAATAAGCAAAATGTTATCCCTCCACCCCCCAATTCCATCTTCTTCTCAGCAGAACTGTCACAAAAATTATACTCAATTATTATATTTTAAATAGTCAAAAATTCATGGAAACTTGTTTTTTCTCTTATTACACAAGTATGTACCCAGTATCTTGGATTTTTCCTTTTGATTTACAAAACCTAAAATATTTACTAACTGGTTCTTTACAGAGAAAGTTGGCTTACCCCTGACATAGATCAGAATAGAGAGAACAGACTAGAGTCCAAAAATAGACCCATGCAAAGATAGGCAATGATTTTGACAAAGATGAAAAGAATATTCTTTTCAACAAATATGCTAAAATAAAGACATCCACAGGCAATAAAAGAAATCTCAATCTCTGCCTCAGGCCACATAAACTAAGATTTAACTCAAAACAGATTAAAGATCTAAGTATATAATTTAAAAGAAAATGTAAGAGAAAATCTTTGCAATCTTCAGTTAGGTACAATTTTTAAATACAACACCAAAAGACTGATCCATGAAAGAAAGAAAAATAGATAATTAGAACTTCATCAAAATAAAATATTTGCTCTGATAACGATACTGAGAAGTAGCTTCTCATTTGTTTGCTCTGATAAACAAATGGGAAGACTGTCAGGATGGGTGGTGTAGTACAAAATGGTGGCTGAACTACAACCTGGAAAAGACAGTAACATCAAACCAGGGAGCCAAAATGATGGGCTTTGCCAAAACAGGTATCCACATAGCAACCTGAGCCAGAGGAGAACCGCCAATGATATATTGCCGCTTTGTTCAAAGGGGACCAATCCCCAGCTCCCACAAAGAGAGCCAATAAAAATAAAACCCTGCCACATTCCCTACTTGGGTGGTGGCTTCTTTGGCCCCACTTTGCAGTCCAGAGAACCTCGCCCAGGTGTGCAAACCCCAATAAAGCTCTACACTGCCTAACTTTGTGGCTGATTGGCATTTCTTCCTCAGCGGAGCCTAAGAAAACCTTTTATTTGGTGCCAAAACCCAGGAGGAATTGTTGTCTGCTGAAGACCACTCCTCTCCCTACTCCCTGAGGAGGCCTCCTGGCCACCCCACCAGTCTGGCCAAAGAACCAGGGTAAGTGCCGTTGCCCTTAAGTTTCTGGTCCCCAAACACTGATTCCAGGCCCCCTTCTGCTGGAAGAGACTGCTCTCACACCAAAACTGTAGCACTGAGTAGGAGTGACCCTTCCGGGAGAGGCTGCCCTCCCTCCACTGAGAGGTTCTGGGCACTGGAGGAGATGTCCCTGGACCCAGACCCCCATTTTTACCAGACCGATCAGCAGATTGGGTTGAGGGACGCTGATTCCCATTTGCTGATCCTCGTGGGACCAGGAATTGCAGGAGCAGGAGTCCCAGCTAGATCCTAAGTCACTTCTAGGGTGCCTTCTGAAAAATTTGCCAGCAACTGACCCTGGCCTCAAGCGAAAATGGCTGCTTTTTCTATCCACTACGGCCTGGCTGTTATATCAGCTTGATAATCGTGAAACCTGGCCTCCAGAAGGCACTTTCGATTTTGTTACCCTTACTGACCTAGATAGTTTTTGTAGACGGACTGGCAAATGGTCTGAGGTCCCCTACATTCAGAGCTCTTGGGCCTTGTGCTCCCGCCCGGATCTGTGCGCCCAGTG